ACCGACAGCGTCACTTTTGCATGGCTCGCGCACACGGTTTTCTCGGGTAACTACGGGGACCTTGAGTATCCACGGCCCGCACACAGAAACACTACACTCTGAACATGTGCTTTCTATACAGACTCCCATCGTGCATGGCACCATCATGAATGCCTTCATCAGCTATTAAACCAATTTCGCACAGCTAACTAAAGCACACCGCCAACTCTGCTGCCATGGTTGCACAGCTGCGGATCTTCCGAGGGGTTGACCCCTGCCTGATCTGTTTCTTTGTTTGAAATTCACGGTAGGCCCAACCGGAAAGCCCGCACGCAGTATCACAGCCTTGAATGTGCTTGACAAGCTGCAGGTTGAATCTGACACATGATTCATGGAGCCCTGGCCGAAGTCAAGCTCTCCGAAGTGACGCCCAAATGCACCAATTCAGTTCCCATCTCTTGCTTCCTGCAGTTTGTTTCCCTTCTACCTTGTACGTAAACCCAACGAGGCTGAGCCGGAGGCCAGGGCGGCCAGGACTGTCGCCAGAGCTTGAAACCAATGAAAAGCCAGGCGGCTGTGTGCGGGTTGATCTTCGCACAATCTGTTTCGGAGGCAACGCAGCTTACCAGGCCTGGATGCATGGAACCCCAGTGTGGGAGACCAGCTCATGATTCGCGATGAAGAATGAAGGCTCAAGCAGATGGAGGCGTGCTCTTGAGGGATCAGGCCTTCACACACCACATCACACCACATACCATCTGCTGCATAAATCCAATCCCCAAAACTGCTGCGCAATTGTGCCTTTCCTTCCCGCGTGGAGTTTTAAACAAAATTGTGAGGATCTGAGTGCCACCCAAGAGCAGGGGTTTCCTAGCACAGGGACCGCGATTGGGCATTGACCGCCGGTGATCTCCGAACATGTCGTTCGACGCTCGTCATCCTGGACTACGCTTCGGCTTTGCGGCGTGCTCGGCATGGTCTAAAACGGTTTTTGGACGCTTAACTTCAGACTAAAAAGTTGCGGATTCTGTGGGCAGCAGGAGTTCTCAAAGCCATGGCCTCCAGCAATCGAAAGTATTTCCCAGATTCCCGGCGCAGGAGTTCAGGGCTGCAGCCATCAGCGCTGCGGACCTGCGTGGTGCATTCTGCGCGTTTGCATGTGAGTGTTTTCGAAACTTAATCTGGGGCAGGAGCTGCAATCAGTAAGCATTCCCAATCGCGATTAATTTGTCATTATAATTGTCAATCACGGACCCTACTCAGCTCTGTCGCGAGATACCAGCTCGGCGCATCAGGCAGGACTGCTTTCGAGCACGGGTGGCATCTGGTAGTCACAGTTTGTCAAGTTGCAAGCAAGGGCCGGAGAAGCAACACAAGCAGCTTCGCCACCATGAAGAACGAGGCCGGGCCGTTAGCCATGTTGTTTGTGCTTCGAACTTTGCGGTTCCTTAATGAAGACTTTCCTTAAGCATGGAGGCATGGTCCACTTGCACTTTCGCAGTAAAGGAAAAAAGGGTTTGACGAAAGTCATCCGTGGGCTTGAATGAGACACGCTGGGCAAGAAAGAAGATGGCAACCGTAACCTTTTGCTTCACGCAGGCCGTCGTGAAAACCTTATCATGAGCATATTGCTGCGCCATGGTGTGGCCGGCCCTTGTAAACACCACCCTACTATATCCTACGCTTTGGTCAAACTCCGTGACGCTGCGAGTCCTTAGGTTTTGCGGGTCTCGCTCTCCGAGAGGACTCGACCCGTTGTTTCACATGGCAGCTCTTGAGCCGTTTCCTGACAACGAACGCTGCTGCTGAAGCCAACGGCTGGTGATACTACCGACGAGGATGCTGACTGCAGACTCGCTGCCGCTTCTGCGGCCTTTGTCGGCCTGCGCCGGAGACCCCTTAAATCAGTTTTACAACAAGGATGGAACCACAGCCTGGGCGTGGGAATCTTTCATGGTGTTTGCAAGCAGCAATGTGCAGAGTTCGATGCGAAGGGTTTTTTCGAGAGGACATGAATTCCACCAGGCCAGGCATCACATCCAACTGCTTAGAGCTTCGGACGGTTGCAGCATTGTCGCTGTGGCTGATGTGATTCATAGCAGGTCTGTGATTTGTGCGACATGTGCTACACCCTTGCTACACTCCTGCCAACAGCTCAAGGTCCAGATGCGGTAACACAGGCACCATGACAAACTGAAGGTTAGGCAATCGCAACTCTGCAGGCATGCAACAGCTTGGAGCATGTTCACAAGTGCTCAAGAGCAGTACCAAGAACACATTCGTTGCTTTCGTTGGAGCTCTCGAGGTTTTGCGACGCAAGAGCATCGCGCGATGCATACTCTCGGACGTCGGAGCGACTGAGTTCATTGAAGCAGCCTTGTAGCGGTAGCCAGATTCAGCCGATTGTTGCTGTCACAGCTTCGACACCTCAGGGGGACGGACGTCGAAGGTCTTCAGCACTGCACCTGGGTGACAGTGGCATTTGCAGAGAGCTAGGTCTGTTCGGGGCGGTTCCGGTCGTCGAAATTGTGGCAGCTGCAGCGATACTGGCCGTCTTGATGTTGGAGCGGTGCCGAGGGTGTTGCATGCAATTGTAGTGTCGTGGTGATGTGGTGGGCAGAGCGGCGGCAGTATCATTCAATGATATTCAATGGATGGGATATGTAAGCCATCATGTATTGAAGCCATCCTACAGCTGCAGCCAGCCAACTTCAGCGAGAATCGAGCTATCTTCCCTTGCGTGTCCGAAAAGCTGCTAGAAAACCACAGCCCACTCACAAAGGCACTTCGATGCACTTTGCTGCACTGGACGGGCACACTTTCTGCGACGAAGGAGGCCGCATGTACTGTTTGCGACACGTGCGCAGCTCCAACTACGGGAGCGTAAGCAGGCCTGGTTCGGTCCGCGCCTCTCAGAAAATTTCTATGGCCCGGCCCTCCATGAAAAAGAGGCAGCATAGCACAACTCCAAGGTCCACTCCGGAAAAGACCTGCGCTCTGTCGAACATCAGCTGGCTGTACTGTCTTGGAACAAAGCTAGCGGAATGCGGAAGGCCCGATCATGTTTGAAGGCACAACGACTACGAACGAATACAAGATCCCTTTGCTGGCCTGCAGGCTGTAGAATCTGCCAGGCTCCGGAACTTGCAAGTCGGCCTGGGCTCTGGAGTGTCTTGTTACCCATCTCTGCCTTTGTTATTTCTGGTCAGGAGGGCTTGAAAGGAGATGGACCTTGGCGAACAAGGATGCATACGGTTGGCTGACGATTGAACTCAGATGAAGACTGCAATGCCTGGAAAAGCCTGTAAGCACAGCATAAACGTGATAAGGTAGGAGAAAGGTGCAAATGCAGATTGCAAAACAGCACAACACTCTTCAGTCTGCAATGCATTCGCGGAACACGGACTTCAATACCAAACGCATCTGGGATCTTTCACAGACAACAACCGCGATAGTTGTCACGAGCTGTCGCAGGCCATCAGCAGGCAATGGTATGCGTGATGCTATCAGGTATGCGGGAGGTGCTACGACACGGCCATCACTGATGCGCGGCAAGATTTTGAGTTTGCATGGAATTGTTGGCACATCCCGCGCATCATGAGAAGCCATGTCAAGGTGCACGAGGACTTCTGCTGGCGAGTACAGGATCAACAAATATCCAAGCCAAGTGCACCCAGGATCACCTAGGGACCTAGGCAGGGTGGTGCAGATTTATTGGGCAGGACCAGGTTTCGTGCACCACATCATCACCACCGCACTCGAAAACGAATGACACGACTCCAACACTTTGTCAGAAAAAACTGAACCTAAAGCCAGCATGATGGACTCACGAAGCGCTGGACGTCCTAAGGACCCAAGTCCATTCGACATGATGCAGCGTTACTGACCGTACTGCATCAGACAAGCAGCGGCACATGTTCTCGACAGCACCTGGTTGCTGCCATCAGTCACAGCTATGGCATTGTGTTGCGATTCGCGGAAGAAGGTGCTGTGGAAGATCATACCTCGGAAGGCCATCCTCCAAAACCCTCAATCGCCAGGTGACTGTACGTACATACATACTTACTTACTTACTTACTTACTTACATGATTTTCATACATACATACTTACTTACTTTCGAGGCCGTCCACTGAAATCTCCAAGCGGGTGCCCTCGATTTGGCTGGATTTCGGAACGCAGGCTGGACATATTTGGTCAGATCGATCACTGGGAAAATTCTAGTTGGCGATTCCAGGTGGAACAAGCGAGTAAGCTTTTCGCTCATCAACGTGGAAGACCTTTGCCTCCAACCCGCCTCCAAAGGTTCCAAGGCTCAAAGGGTCTCCTCGCTCCCGCTTCTCAGAACAAACTTGCCGCTTGGCTCCTCGTCGGAGCTGGAAGGGACGGGATCAAATGGCAAAAGCAAAAAAGTCTCTTTGAAGTGAAGGTGAAACTCTGCAGAAGCGGAGCTTAGCGGGACTTGTCCCTCTCGGTTCGGCCTGCGCTAAGGAGGCGAAGATGCTCAAGTCGGGGCTGCAGATCTCCAACCTCTCCTGGCCCTTGGCGCCCACAGGCGAAAGCAAAGCGCGCTGCGCGCTCTTCTGCTTTTGGGCGCCTGTTTGCCGCTGGGTCTCTCCAGATGTCCGCAGAAAAGCCAAGGCCATAGCCGATGTATTCACCCAACCTCCAGCTGAGCCCAAACTGCTTAGTTGTTTTGCTGCTGCAGCCAGGTCGCCCGTGACGTTGATGTTCAGCAACGATCCTCGGGGTTCCGGTCGAAGGTTCCGGAGCACCAGGAGCGGTGCCTGAAGGACTCTCGGAGGCAGTCGACAATTCAAGCTATGTAACTTAGTCATGAAAGGATACCAGCTCAAACCCTTCTGCACCGGCCGAGCCGGGATGCCCCGAACTGATTGCCTCTGATTCTTCGGTTGCTTGCGCCGGCCTCCGTACCGGAGCTCCCTCGCACTCCGGGACCACGAATGCGGGCACCTTCAGCGCCCGGTCGAAGCTGAAGCTCAACCTCAACGGCTGAAAGGGCGAGGCATAGCGCTCTCACTCATGCTGGTAGTGTGGATGTCTTAGTTTATCGGTCGTCTCGAGATGACAGGACATGGCACGAAAGCAACACTCGGTCCAAAACTCGCAGATCACCCAAGCGAGCAGTTGATGTATCCCACGAAATCAACTCTGCAGCACGAAAAGTTTAGATCACGACTCGCAAGTGAAAATCTTGCAGGGCAACCTTGAGGAGTGGCATGCCGATCCTCAGGTAAGTATCCAGCATCAGTCTCTCTCCCTCACTCGCTCTTGCACGCTTGCCCATGCTGCTGCAGGAGAACTCCACTCTCACTTCCCATCTGTTAGGAGTCACACCCCTGGCATTGGAGAAGGACGAATCAGGAATCTTCAAAGGACCACGTTGGTTCAGAAGTCGGATTCTGGCGAGCAGCTTTCCCCTCAGTCCCGTTATTATCGTATCTGCAACTGGCCTTCGCGTTCGTCCAGCCCACCCAGTCTACGCTATCCTACACAAGGAACAGAACACGAATGAAAGCGTCCTCAAATTTCGCGACATGGGCGGCATAGGTATTTGCGGTGGCTCAGGTCTCGAGCAAAATCTCAAATCTAACTCATCCTCGCAGCCGTTCGTTGCATGGTCCGGTACTCTCAACAGCTCACAGCTCACTGAAGAAAGCTCGGTGTACTGCTGACCCCTGTGCTCTGCCCAGAATCGGATCCACGATATCCAGAACATCTCCGGCGTCCAAAGCTGCCACGGCCGCCAGGCTAGGAACGCCCACGATGCTCTGAGAGCCAATGGGCACCACCAAATCCGGACAGCCTGAGAAGTCACTCGAACCATCTGTAAGCAAGCGAACAGTGCGCAAACCGCGCTGTATCTGACCCGCTCTGACAATCTAAATAAGCAATGTGCTGAGACGCCGAGACACGACTTAAGCTGCTCACCTGTTTACAGTCAGAAGGCTGAACCACCTGCATCTTGATGTAGAGATAGCACCAAACGAACTACAGTACAAACTTTGTTTTCGCGTGTGGAATGTTCGAGCCCGATGGTTTCACTGCAAGCTGCGGGCTTCCATCTCTCACAGCTATCAGGACGAGATGCAAACGCTCGTAAATGTCCGTTGCCGCAGGCTAAGGCTCGCCTCCTTGCTGCTTGTAGACATGGCAACTGTCAACACTAGGCACGAGCACAAACCGGAAAACTCAGAAGTTGTTGGCTGCTGCGTTCACAAATGGACACTTTGTGCTTGCTCAGAGCAGGCCTCAGGCAATGGCGTCGGGGGAGGGGACCTGAGACAGGAAGCTTAACAAGGGTTGCAAAAACTCTGTCTCTAAATTTCGTGAACCCAAAAGCTATAGGGTAGCCGACCATGCTCGGGCCTGTGCTTTCCGTGTTTATGCGTGTGCTACAGTTGGTTACCATTTATACCTTTGTCACATGTCGCAAGCTGGACTATGTCTTGGATACCTTAAGAGAGTATTGAGATCAGAAGAGAGCATAAGTAGGAAAACCGAAACGGGTGTGAAATAAGTTAGAAGCGGAGGTAGAGCAGTTAAAAGCGTATCTACAAGATTTACAGAGGTATGTAGACAGTGTGCAAAACTGTTTAGATGATCTGCAAAGAACCTCAGACCGCCATGCATCGAGATCATAAAGAAACTACTTTAATCAATTCTCCAAGGCCTGTATATCATCCACATGCAGGCAACTGATTGATTTGAGGAAGGGAGTAAGTATTCAGACAGCTGTACTGTTGATTGTATCACTTTGCAAACTCCCAAGCTCTAGCCAAAGAGGTTAGGAGAGGTTTAGAAATCACGTGCAAAGTCTCGGAGTGATTTGAGCTATTGACAAGACTACCTTGATTCGTCAAAAAGCTAATTGGATTTTTGCAATTGTATTGCAATACTTTGGAAACGGTGGGGTTGCCTCTACATTTTCGTTTCGGATGAACTAAACCTTCTTCAAATCCACTTTTTCATACTATGCAACTCTCAACGTATTCAACTTGTGATGATAAATGATAAACCTAAATTTCAACCCAGGCCTCATGGCAGTCACAGCCGGATCCACTGCAGTGAGTCTCGGCTGGCAGCTGCCGTTAGAGTGCTGATGAGCAGCTGCGGCCACGGCCCTTCGGGCGGTCTGCATTGGCCCCGTGAAGGCTCCAGGCTCGGCCGCATGGAAGGCAGCGAAGCTCGGCCTCTCTCCCACCGTCTCCCGTTGAAGATTGAAAATCCCAAAGGTTCTCTCTGCAGTGGCCTGTGCCCTTGATCGGATCATCCCCAGCGCTCGCAAGACTCCATGCGCAAAGGCAAACCTGAGAACAGCAACACCTTCTGAACAGCTAGGCCAGTCCACAGGCAATGTTGAGCGAATGGCATCTTAAGCCTGTGCTGTTGAATCGAGACGAGCAGAAACACTTCGCATTTTCATGAGCTACATGTCATGATTGAATACCGATGTGAAGGAGTAGACATTGCAAGTGCAGGAACTAGCAAGAAGATGTGCAGGAACCAAGGCCGAGGCTGTCAGCAGAATACAGGATAAACAGATCAGCAGCGATGCAAAGCCTGCGGCGGGGCGCATCTCTTGGCATGCAGGCAGCTGCGCTTCGGGTGATGCTCCGCGAAACGCGCGAGTTGAAGTGAAGTTCCGTTGCAAGGAGCTCTGCCTGCTTCTGGGGCTTGCGGTGCATCCCACAAAAGCTGACCTTGCCGCAGCTTGCAGCCCCGTCTTTCGCATCATTCGCATCAATCGAGGCAGGAGAGCAGGGCAGATCTGGGCCCGGCACGGTCGCCCTGTAGAAGGTAAAGCACTTCCCAAGGAAGGAAGGCATAGCTTTTCTGCAGGAGAGAGGGTCTTCAGATTTTCGTGTTCTGAGGAGCCTCAAAGACAGTTGCCCGCCTCGCTTCGAGAAGCGTTCAGCTTAGTGTTGCCGTCCCAAACCTGTCCTTAGGAAGGGTTGCACAATTAGCGCGAAGCGCGAATAAGTAAACGTGGTTGTCATCGGCTCTTCCAGCAAAGTGCTGAGACGAGATGTATTAACACACACATGCGAAGCTGCAAGGGACGCAACGCACCATCATGCCTTGGGACACTTCTAGCTTCAACTTTTGAAGATAACACAACACCCAGATCTTTTGATGCGGACGTTCTGGTTCTTCGACGATGTCCTCCGTGCAGCTTGGTGCTCATAACATAAATTCCGCATTGACGTAGGACCTAGTACAGTCGTCGATGAGAGAGAGCATCACGGTTGCGTGTTGCGGGAACTCCGCCCTGCTAGCCGCCCACGTCACGCCTTCGTTCGTTCCTTGTGGTGTCACGATCTGTTCTCGACTGGCCCACGCCTCGCAGCTGTGGCACTAGACGGCAAGCAGGTCTATCTGTGGGGCCTTCGTCGAGATTGTGAAGCCAGATCCCTAGAGCACGACTTCTGCGTGTGATCATTCACCCTTTCTGCAGTCGCATCTCCGATTCTGCTAGACACTGCTGCGTCTAGCCCAATTCTCAGACTACATCGTTCCTGCTCCAAGATGACATGGGTGACAAGCCGCAGGGTAGTCGGGTAGTCGAGCTAAAGGCCAAGTGTTGCTGCCAAGACGCTATCGCGGTCTCTGGTCTGGGAACTTTGTAGCAATATGGATCCCGCTGCCTCACGCGGCTTTTTAGAAGCACGTCTGCGCGGGAATCTCTGTGGGGTCCAACCTCTGAGATGCATCCCAACGATGAGATATGTTCCAAGATGCGTGGGTGTCGGTCGAAGGGGTGGTAAGGTCGTCCTGGCAAACGGTAGCAGCCTGCGAGTGAGAGCTGACGAGGTTGACACAGTGACAAGATGCTGGCGTGGGAACAGTTGTTTCTGCACTCACGGCCTTGACAGCCGCTAGAGTCACCAGAAGCCTGAATGGCTGAAGCGGTGAGCTGGTCCGCATCATGCAGGTTGCTTCACCGACTGTAGCTGCAACCTTCAAGTGCCAAGACATGCCAATGTGCTCCCTTCAGCCAGGGCACCGAAGCATGGCATGACCGGCGCTGGGGCTTGTCAGCTGTAGCCCAGGGCTGTCAGAAAAGCTGACACGGTGCCGCCCACAAGCCCCATGATCAATTGAAGCGCTGGAATTCAGTGCTTGACCGGTTTCTGCTGAAGAATAACTGCCCATCTCTCGTCGACAGTTCTTGTACAGGCAACCCTTGTGCACGCTAAGACTATGTTAAAGATGGTCAAGGGCAGTTGCACATTGAGCCAGGCACTGAGGAGCAGGTAGAAGCCAACTGTCGCAGACACCTGAAAGACAAGTGAACGAATCGAAGCACTGTTTGGTTGCATGCTCACCCTATCAGCACCGCATGATCGTGCCTCGAAGGTGCAGCGCTCCCCCAACTGCTGCACTGCAGCCCTGTAAGTCTCCTGCGAAAATGCGCACGCTCAGCCTTGGGCCCCTTCACCTTCCCTAGGCTACAAGACTTTCATTGAAAGCATGTTTCGAACAGCCAGGGAGACCTTCAAAACTCTAATCATCCCTTCATGGACTGCTGCTTCTGCATCCCTAGCAACTCCCTTCGGAGTTCTTCTGCGCACTGCTTTGGCCAATTTTGATTGCCTCTTGCCGTCATAGCGGCAGATGAAGCACACTAATTCGGCCCCAAAGCGTGGAACGAAGCACTTAAAGCAGCACCGGGACCTCGGAAAGCTAGGATGCCATCCGTGTGGTAGCGATAAGCATCCGACAATTTGTTGTCTCTTTGTCTACAGCTGTATGGTGCTGAGATTAAGACGGCTCCTCGCTGACCGTCATGCCTGCTTGGAGCAGCTCATCACAAAGACGAAGTGCCTTGTCAGAGAAAGCACGTGCATAGCAGACTGGTTGCAGGTTTACGGTTTTAGGATGCTGTTTGCCGACATGTTCGCAGAAATGGCGCTCACTCAAAGAGCTGCGCATCGGAAGGATGGTGGTTTTGCCGCACTGGCGTGATGCTGTCAGGCGGAGGAAATCATCCAAATGTCAGCGTGGTTGACTCCCGAGGTATAGGTTTCTTGTGGCGCGGATGCAGGCCGTCGGTCTAGGAAGGGTGCAGGTAGGGTGTGACGCTGACGCTAGACGCAGGCCGGACGTGTGACATGGGCCGCAAGATGCTGGACGCGGACGATGCGCGAGACTTCGCCCGACATGCTTGCCTGTGGTTCCCATGGGAGCAGATTCGGGAGAAGTCGAGCTTCTAAAAATTCTGAGACCCATCTCGCAAGATCTAATTAACATTATCATGATCGCCATTATGCCGAGGATGACGGTCGAGTATGAAGCTGATGGTAATGCTGAAGATGATATGATGATGATGATGATTATATGGTGGTGATGATGATGATTATATGATGATGATGATGATGATGATGTACCCTGCTAGCATGCCAGGAAGCCCACAAGACATCAGACCCAACTCCCAGCGCCTGCGCAGAAGCAAGACCAAGACTAATTAATACAGCCTAGAAGAGCTGCGTACCTACGGTCAGCTTAGGGCAAGGCTACCTGTTCGTCTCTTCGCAAGCGGCCGCTCACCTGCACTTCTCTATACCATGAGAGGAGACAGATTCCGGCAATACGTTTGCCGTACTTCGGCGACACCGCTGTCGACCATGGGAGTCGTCAATGCCGCATAATTAGCTGTCATCTAAGACATGATAAAGAATGATGTTACAGAGAAAAAATGGGGAGCTACAGCTCCGTTGCTAGCGGTGCGAGTGGGTCCTTCGGTGGCCTTCTGAGCTTCTTCCCCGCTCTGCAGTGCATCGATCACTTCGGAGGGAAGGCCTCCAAAAGCCGGACAGAACGTCATGGCCCCATGCGCTGCACTCCGCATGCGCAAGGACGCTTCAGAGAGTCCTGAATGAGCACGTTTTTTTCATGAACTGTTCATGATCCTTCCTGCCTGCAGCCAATGCCAGCTTCGCATGCGACCACAAAGCATAAGAGGCCCCTGTGCTCCTCACCTGAGCTGCATCCCCCTGGTCTCTTCAGGAATTCTCAATCAGTCGAGACATCTTTGAAGCAGCCACTGCTACATAGAGCACAGCAAATTCCTTGATTTCGCACCTTTCCTGTGCAATCGCTCTACTTCCTGAGTCTGTTCTTAGGGGAGCATTTCTGGGGTGCGGACAGTTCGCAGAATACACAGCCTGGGCGTCGATTAGCAATTGGTATGCGGCGAGTCTTGACGTCATGCTTATGCTCTCAACAGACTGCTTGTTTCGCGCTCGTTTCGGCTGCGTCAGATCCAATGCCGATGCAGTGTCTGGCTCCTTCAGGGCGAGCGTCTGTCTGTGCTCTCTGCGTCTTGCCGGGTCCTCTGCTTCGAGCGTTTCTGCGAGGACTTGCACCTCGCCGGTAACGCCTCCTGGTCGAGGGTTCAATGAGGCTTTGCTTCTGAAAGACTAACCTGCGAGCTGCCAAACCCGTCTACCTCGTCTACGTTCCACTGCAGGCAGTTGCAGACATCGCTCTGCTGTCATCCAAGCGTCTTTTTCGACGCTGGCTGCCCGGAGTCTTGGCCTGTAACCTCTCCTCACACAATCAGAATCTGCTGTCTCCGCAGTCTGTCGGCTGTAGGATGCCTTTTGGGCGACTTGCGATCTGCAGGCGAGACACAAGAGCCCTCGCACGTGCTGCTGCCCACTGGGCCTCAGATGCTCACAAGGTCACATGGTGCGGCCGCTACGTCGGTGAGCCGGCAATCTTGATTCCGCATGTTGAGCATATCTGCTCTGGAAGGACCCGACAAACAAACTCGACAAGCCGGACCAGGCCAGAATTTGAGAACTGCGAGCAATACTGCGAGCAGCTCTCGCAGCGGTGCTGCAGCAGCGGCAGCAGACTGACCCAGCTCCGCCGGCAGCAATTGGTTCTTTTTGTTGGAGCTCAGAGCTCCGGAAATAAGGCTTTGCCAATAGAGAAGATCCAAATGCTACAGCAACACCACCTTGCCACGGCAAGGGATACCTGCCCTCACGTGCCCAAACTAGGCACCCTGCTGGAGACTTGAGCTTCTCAGCGCTCTCTGCTCGAGCAGCAGCGGCAGCCGCGGCCTTTGAAAAGGTGCTGCCCGAATGAAAATGGACACTGGAACCCACTGTGCCGTCCGGACCCACTGCGCCGGCGTTATGGGTAGCTTGGCAGCTGCGGCCAGGGATTTTGCCTTCGGTTGCCTCACGCAGCTAGGAATACAAAAGAAACAAGACTTCTGTATAGTCAGTTCAGGTGCCTTCGTGTCCGCTCTTTTCGCAGAGCTGCCCGCCGTTTTCGCTGGGCTCGAGGTCCATCGGCAAACTTCCCGCCCACCTCACATGACAGGACACAGGCCAGAAGCTTCAGCTGAAAGAGGACGGCCACAAACAAACCTCGCTTCACCTCGTACTGGCCTGCTCGATGCCGGAGGCAGCTGAGGACTCGGAGATCTCTTCCGAGGAGGAGTCCTAGCGTCTCCAAAGACAACCAACAAGCAGAGCTCGTGCATTCGAAGTTTGGTGCCACTCCTCCAGCACCGCCAGCTCTGTACCTGACATAGCGCTGCAGGAAAAGAAGCATCGAAAACGAGAGGAAATCCAACTGTCTGATGAGAGAGGATGTGCCCCAGCTTCACTGGTACTGCCGCAGCACGAAGCATTCAGCCTAGTTGCCAGGAACTATGTCCGGGTGCTCTTCCAAATCAACAGGCCCCAGCTCCTAGTCAAGGCAGGGCACAGGGAGTCTCGCGGGCCTGCGGGCGTGAACACCTCTGCCGGTCCTGAATCGCTTCCACCCAATAAGCGTGGCTACAAAGCGTTGTGAAAATGTTATGACATTCAGGCCACATCCGACATCCCCTCTCCTCTGCAGCCGCAGGGCGCTCCTCGAGATTACTGTCTGCAACATCTGCCCTCTGCTCCTGGAGCTGCAAACGGTAATGCATGGAAGGAACAAAGCCAGAACATGCTGAAGCACATGTTCATGCTTGAACGGGCCATGTCAGGCTCCGTGAGATGAGGAGCCACTAAAGCATCATCGTAGTGCATGATATGACTCCAAAATAGTATGTCGGGCTGCCAATCCATTCTGTCATTCTGTCCATACTGGGCAAAAGCCGCAAGCACCTCCGATAACGATCGGTGACGGACGTGACATTGCGAAGTTCACCCCGTTTTGAACCAACCTCACTGGCACATGACGCAGTCACACTGGCAGTTCTGCCCTGCGCATTGGCATTCAGGGCCAAAAGCAAAGGATTGCGGACACTGACCGAAGAACGAAGCACTGCCGCAAGCAGCACCGGTAGCATGCATTTCGCGATGGCAAGGCCAACAGCAAAATGATGACCGTCTCTGAGTTGGTCCCCCGGCGCCATGGTTCGACATAGAACGGCGTGATCAAGCATCCGGATTTATCGAGAACAGGTCGGGACTATCAGGTGCAAGCCGGGAGGCTTGTCAGGCACGTGGAAAAAACTTTTCACACACGTGCAACGGATTCCCTAAACTCTATACCATAAACCCCAAACGGCCCTAAACGAAACCTGCACATGTGAATGATAATTCCAGCAAGCGTTCTTGATAATGCACGCGCATCTCTTTGATAAATCGCGCGATTGTCTCTGATAAAACTGGCCTTTATTCCCGAAGACTGGCGCAATGAAACTCGAGAAACAGCTCCCTACCCAACAGCAATCTTATCGCAGACGGGTCCGCTTTGAAGGTTCATGCTTCTCACTCACCCGAACCTCACACCCACATGCTCCAGAGACTTTTCGAAACCGGACACGCGGCAAGCAAACGCAAGCAAATGCAAGCGCAGCGCCACCACACCGGGACCCTGAACAAGCGAACGCCGCAAGCAAACGAGCGCCTCGGCTTCGGGGTTGAAAATCGCCGCGGCCTGCTTGGCCCAGGCGAAGAAATCGTCCTGCAGTCGCTCAATGAATTTCCTAGGAACTGCAGATCCTCTTTTTTTCTCCTCCTCAGGAGGCGAAGGTGGAGGAGAAGAAGTTATGCCTGCGGAAACAAGCGAATCATTCCGTGTTGCTTGATCTTCCCGTAACTTATGTGACTGCCTGGGCCAAGAATGGCTTCAGCGGTGGCACGCACCTGCGGGCAGCAAGGCCACGACTCAGCTTTTGGTGACTTGAGCTACCAAAAAACACTTCTGCAAAGATGGCGCGATATGTGTCACCTGAATCGAACAACTTGTCTTGCCGAATAGCTTGAACGGCCTTCGGGGTGACCAAAACGAAAGCTACTGTTGCAGCTCTGCGGGAGGCACACAGGTCTTGTTGGCAATGGCTATGGGTGCACAGAGAGTAGCACTAGTAGTAATCTCAGCGTAGTAGCCGTCGTCGTCGTCATCGTCGTAGTAGCAGTCGTCTTCGTAGCAGTAGTAGTAGTAGCAGTAGTAGTAGCAGTAGTAGTAGAAGTAGTAGTAGTAGTAGTAGTAGTAGTTGTTGTAGTAGTAGTAGTGGCTGTAGTAGTGGTAGTAGTAGTAGTAGTAGTAGTAGTAGTAGTACTAGTAGCAGTAGTAGTAGTAGTGCAGTAGTAGCAG